TGACGGGTGACATTTGGGGCTCGGAGCTGATCCCTACAATTAACCCGACTAAGGCATTCTTTTACAACCCCGAGCAAGTGCCGTTCCGTTTCACCCCCAACATCCAGACATTGCTGGGACCGATTGCTACGGAGGGACTGTTTGCGTGCGCGTTGATGGCCATTGCACGCTGCCTCACGGAGCCCCGACACGAACTTGAGCAGCAGCTCAGTATTTTTGTCCGGGACGAGATGATGTTTTGGGCCACGGCCCAGCACCGTGCACCTCTGGGACCACCGCAGCTCCGCGATCTGGTCTACAACAACAGCGATGTGATCGTCAACCGGGCCGTCAGCCTTGCCAGTCCACCTGAGGGTAACCTGCCAGCCAACCAAACCACGATCGACCTGATCTCCAAGGCAGTGAACCCGCAGCATCTCGCTGCCTGCGATGCTCTCTGGATGCCGTATTTGTAAAGCTGGTCGCTGTTTCTTCTATCTGTTTGCCTTGTCTGTGTTCTCTTGGCGTTTTCGTTCGGGCTGAGGGCTTACGGGATTTCCAGCCAGTGGTTTCATTCTAGCGTGGCGCTTCGGGGCAAAACAGGGATCTTCTGCGTATCTACTTGTTTGACGCGTTTATGCATTGTTGGTGTATCACAATTATTTAATCAATCAAGATGTTCAGTTTAATATACCATGATAATGCCCGTATAGTAACAAAACTCCATGCTCATGAACCGAACGCCAAACCCCCATACCAGTAAAACTAGACCAACGACGGCTTGGCCTTCTTCTTGATCCCCAAGCTATTAACAGCAGGCTTCTTGGCTTTCTTCACCCTCGCAAATGAAGGCGGCGGTGGAGGCATTTCCCCAGCACCGCTGGCATTAGCAGCGCCACTCCCACTCGCACCCACCCCATTATCAACACTCCCCTCATCCTGGTCAACCAACCTCCTAACCATCTCCCCCTCCTCCGTCCTGAAAGCCCTCCTCGCCACCTCCTCAATCTCCCTCTCCACCCTCTCCGCCTCCTCATCCCTCTCCTCCCTAACAGCCCCCAACGCCACCTCCGACCCCCCCGCCCCACCCCTCTCAATCCGCGCATTCCTCGTCCTAATCTCATCCAACGCATCCGCAATCGCCATCTCCCTCTTCGAGTCCAGCATCTTCTCCTCCAACTCCGCCATCTTATCCCTCTCCTCCTGCTCCACATTCTCCCCTTCCTCCCGCTCCAATCGATCAAGCACCTGCTCCTCCGTCTCCTCCGCCGTCTCCTCCGCCTTGCTTCTATCCCGCCACGGCTCGAAGTTGCGCTTCGCGCCCCGCTCCGCCCGGTAATCCATGTTTTTCGGGTCAGTTAGAAAAGTGATTTCTCCGCTGCAGCGCGTGCAGCGAATGTAGAAGCGGTAGATCGGGATAGAGAAGTATTTTTCCGATGTGGTTTCTTTTCGTGCGTTGAATTTGCGGCCTTTGTAGATGAATTCGCCTGCATTTTATTGAATACGTGTTAGTATTGAGCTGAAAGGAGAGGGGAGGGGGAAAGGGATGGGGGCGGTGTTAGAGGGTATATTGAATGGGGGACGTACCGCATTTCGTGCATTTCATGGAGAAGGGCGCCATTAGTCGGACGGTTATTACTTTCGGTCCTTGTCTGTGATGATATCTTTGGTTAGATTAATGAGTAGAGGGTATAGGGATAGGGAGTAGGGGGTAGGGTACTCACTGGCGTAGGTGCTTGGGTGTGCGCGTGATTGCGCTGGGATCGAAATCCGGAGGGTAGTATTTCCTGTACGTTTGAAGTTGGGTTAGCTGCTGTTGTTGTCCCTTTCTTTCTTGCGGATGTTGTGGGTGAGACGTACGTGAGAACCTTTCGCTCGGACATGGTGGCGGTTTAAATGTCACGGCTGAAAATAAGGAGTTGTGATTGTATGGGTGGAAAGGTGTTGAGGTTAAGTTGGATTTTGTACAAGGCAAGTGTAGATGGCGATTGCGATGCGATGCTATGCTATCGGAGATGCTCACGTGACTACTTCTTATCAATGCACAGGTAGCTCAATGCTTACTAATTATGCTTGGGATCTAACTGAATGATATACGCCTCCAATGCTATAACCGAACCATGGTGCCAGCTCCAATGACAAAACCAGGGTATACCTCTCCAAACGCCCAGTTGCTATGCTCCAATGTTTCCCTGTGTCCTTCAACTATGTCTAGCGTTGCTTCGCATCCGCGACCCTCGGCTGCGCCCTCCCGCCGGGCCTGGCGTGTCGTTCATTTCCATCTCCCGATTCACGCCCGGCTGTCGTTTGCTTCGTCCGCCGCGTACACGGCTCATAGCATGTCGGAGGAGCCCATCCGCCTCGTCATCAAGCTCCATCTCCACCCTGTCTCCCGCTGTCTCCTCTGTGACTGTTGTTTGGCTGTCGACGTGAGCAACTTCATCAGTCCACTCCTCGGCGTACGCCTCGTCCACTGTCCCACGTCGTCGAGACACTTTCCCCTTTCCCTTAGATGACCGTGTTGAGCTGCGGCTTGTGGTGGTCCGGGCATCTTCCAACACCACAGGCTCTTCCTGGCCTTCTAATGCCCAGATTTCCAGTGCCCGCGATAAGAGCGTGCCAGCAATGCCGGCACCACCAGCTGCATCACCACCACCACTGGCTCCCAAAACACGTACTGCTTCGTGCAGGGCTGTTACAGCTTCCATGGTGCGGTTCAGCTCCAGAAGGACCAGACCGCGAGCAGTGTGCAGGGATCCAATCAATCCTCGATCCTCGTAGCCTCCGACTCCAGAAGAGGCGACCCCAGAGGCATTGCCGCCGCTGCCCCCTAAGAACGGGCTGTACCCGAAGCTAGCACCTGCCGCACCAATACGAAGACACTCGTCGAATTCGGCTAGTGACTCTTGGAATTGACCGATACGGCGCAGCGCGTGACCGAGATTGGCTCTCGTGGCAACCCAGGCCCCGGGTTCACATTGAAGCGAGGTGGCCAATGTGAGGGACTGACGGAACAACTCGACAGCACCCTCGAGGTGGTTCTGGTGATACAAAACTACACCAAGCTCATTAAGGACGAGTGGGTCACCGCCTAAAGATGTGAGTTCCGACGGGTTCGCCCTTATCGAAGGAGCCGAGCCGGACGCAGCCCCAGTCGACATGGCATAGGCGGCCGACAGATACTCATGGGCCAAGGACATGTTGTTCAGCGCAAGATGCTGCATTCCCAAGAAGAGCTGTGGTAGATGACTGCCCTGGAAAAGCCGAGCTGCAGTGCTATACGCCGCAATGGCTTGATCGTGCTCTCCTTCGGCAGCGAAGGTATGAGCGAAGCCAATCCATGCTGGCGCAGAATGCGGGTCCAAAAGAGACGCTTTGGAGAAGTAGCGTCGAGCTTCCGCAATCTTAGAGACAGATAGGTAGTAAACACCGATTGCGAGGTATGTATAAGACTCCTCGGGAGCGTGATCGGCAAGCGTATGGGACAAAAGGAACAGGGCGTTTGTTGCGCCCGTCTCATACAAGCAAGCCAAATGTAAGGGGTATACGGCCGGCGGATGTCCCAGGTGGCTTTGAGCGGAAATATGAACTGCAGGCGTCATTTGCGACGATGCTGCAGACTGAGATGTCGAGAGAACAGACGAAGTAAGTTCTAAAGCTTCGGCAAACCGGCATTGGGTATATAGAGCTTCTGCACGAGAAAGCAGGATATCCGCATTCTCCGCTAGATTGTAGTGTGTTGAGAGTGTTTCGGTAGCGTCGGAGAGTATTGTTGGCGAGGAATATTTCGACAATCGGGTAGTGTAAAGCATCTTCGTGAAATGGGCGGCCTCCTGCGCGACGGAGGGGTCGGGACTCGAGACAGAGTCGAAATCAAGCGACTCGAGAAATTCCAGCTCCTCTGCGGGAGACATGAGGGAATTCTTCATAAGCTGGTCAAAAGCCTCGAAACACTGCACATCAATGCGTACGGCGTCCTTGTAGCAGTCGCGAGCCCGGTCGAACGCATTTTGTTTCGCAAAGCAGAGTCCCCGTAAGTAACACATCGCCGCTTCAAACCGAACGTTACTTGCATCCTCCCGCTCTCGCTCTTCGCCCCGATCGATGCGCGACGCTGTCGTCTTTCCGTTCCGCAAGGTAACATGGCTCTGACCGTTCAGGTGCTGGATTTTGCGGCGACTATTGCTGCTGCGTATAAGGTGCGTAGGATTATGGTCGCCCAGGACTGCAAGTGCTTGATCGAACTGATTCTGCTTGATGTGGCAGTGCGCGGCCAGATAGCGACAGGCCGTACTTCTCGAGATCAGGTCTTTCCGCGACAGGAGGGCTAAGGCACGGGCGTAGTTGTTGTTCGAAAAGTGTACTTGGGCGAGCCAAAAGGCATCGGAGTCGCTGTCTAGAGAAGCAATAGACTTAGCACTGGTCGGGGCGATGCTGGGTTGGTCAGTCACTCACTGGTCAGCGCGAGCACTTTATCGCCGATGTAGATGGCCGCATCATGCTGGCCCCGGTTCAGCGCATCCTGACGCCAGGAGCGCAGAAACTTCTCCATGACCAAATGAAGCACGTGGGAGACGAGATTGAGTGCGATTCAAGAGCGAGGGGCTGTCACAACGGTCGCATGGACAGAAAGGCATGAGGCGGGTTGGAGGGGCGACGGCGTCCGGGAAGCGTAAACAGACCGCGGCGTCCCTCAGTAGGCAAGACACTCTCGCAGACGGGGATCGGATGTCACGCGGGCAGTGCTAGATTGCAACACCGTGTACAGGACTGCGAACAAAGAGGGATAACCGGAAAGGCAATAAGCAAAGTGGTAGGTATTGGAGAATGAAGCTCCGTCGGACTGTTGCGAGAATCCAAAGTCCAAAGCGGCGCGTGTTCGGGTCCGTGCGTCTTGCCCGATTGAGAAGCCGGGCGGATGCTGCTTTATCTTCCACTGCTCTATATCTAACTATCTATCTAATCTTTTATTACTCTCTATTCTATCTACCCTTAACTTGGATCAAATTCCACCAATGTTCTCAAAATACTTTGGTCACCCGCCAGCCAACACTGGCCCCTTTGGCCAGAAACAGAAACAGGCAAGCTCCAGCATACGCCGCGCCACAGAACCCAATCAACCCGGAATACTCCGTCTCTACTGTCCCCCGATTCTGCCTTTTCAAGATCTCACCAGCCACAGGAATGGCAACTAACAAGGCGAACGCCATCAGTGCGATTGTTGTTCCGAATCTTCTGCCATAGCTCTCAGTTTTGGAGATTTGAGCCACGCAGACGGGTGTCAGACTTATCGCCGGTCCGCTCCAGAACCCGATTAATGCCGCGAAAGCCAGGATGCATGCCCTGTCGGTGCCTGCTGTGAACCACAGCCCAAAGGTCAGAATAGTACATATAGCACAGGTTCCAAGCATAACGTTGAAGCGGCCCCATATATCCGCTAAAACTCCCGGAATGACGCGGCCGAAGATAGAAGTTGCGCTCATGATCGTCATGAGCTGGTAGGAGAGGGCGCCAGTGATGCCGTGTGATTGTGCATAGGACGGATAATAAGTGACTAGCACTATCAGGCCGATTTCAGCGAAAATGACAGCGATGGAAGTCATGGTGAAGACGGGCTCTTTGAGCGCGCGAATGTCGATCTTGCTCCCTGCCGATGGACTAGGTGGGAGTCGTGCTTCGAGAGTAAGCAGGCTGACCATTAGGCTAGCGAGGAATATAAACCCCAGGATGCGAATAGTCCAGGGGAATCCTATCTTATTGCTCAGGATTCCGAACACATTAGTGAAGATGATTCCTCCAATGCCTCCCCCTGTCGTTGCGATCCCGGTCGCCAGACCACGTCTTTTGAGGAACCAGTGCGTGATGCACGCAGCACTGGGTGTGTACACTGCTGACGCGGAGAGCCCACCTAGGATGCTAAATCCCAAGATGAATTGGTAGTATGCTTCCAGGCAAAAGTCAGCCATTAGTCCGGTGCTGGAGATATTTAACCGTACCGTGGGAGACGCTGAGGAACATCATCGACAAGGTCATGCCAAAGCAGCCAGGTACGAGGAGGTACCTGACACCATGTGCATCAAATATAGGCCCTACAGGACCCGTCAGTAGATGTTTGAGCGTCGGAATGGAAGCGATGCATACCGATCTGGATGCCACCAAGATAAAAGAAAAATAACCACAAGCTGAATATCCACGAGATTGATGCTTTTGAATATCCATGTAGCTGGTGTTCCGCCAGCCAGTCTTCTAACAACCCGTACAGATTCATTATCCCCATCGTTGGGAAGATGGCGCACCATGCGCCCAAGACTACTAACCAGGCTCGCCATCCTCCTTCCGGAAAAGATGACGAGTCTTCGCTGTCGACAAGCGTCTGGGAATCATCACATTTCTCGTAATCACTCGGGGCTGCTTGGACCACAGTGCAAACATCACCTTCCTTTGTCGGTTCCATTGTGATGTCTGAAGAGACAAGAGTGACCGACCCAGAGAGCTGGACTTGCTGGAACCTAACCACTACCACCAGCAGCAGCAGCAGCAGCGTCAGTCGCCATGCTGTTACGAACACAGCATACCACTAGTTACGGCGATCATTGGAGCAATAGCCTATCTCCTTCCAGACGGAGAATTCCCTTGCATCGGTGACTGTGTTCCCGGGAGATAGCTTGTTGACGAGATTACTATTAGCAGCAGGAGAGTGAAACAAGTATGCAAGACATGCCTGTATCAGCATCGATCTACAAGATCTACAGTGCAGTGGCGATAGCGCAAGAGGTACACGATATGAAAAAGCAAATCAGCCATTTGTACAACCTGCTGAGTCCTAAAGCGTATTCTACTGACCAACTAGTAGTTTAGTGACAGCTATCGGCATGTAATAATTTGGCTCAAGGAATTTATTCAGTGGAAGAGCCCCGACCATGTGCACCGAACCTACTAATGAAAGATAATCCGCATTCCCTGGAAAGACTTCATGAAAGCATAAAGCATTCCAAACCATCATACGAAAGCATAGTAAAACCAGCACACGCATAATGCATGCGATCAACATGATGATCTACTGCTGTTTCCAACCTACTATTACGAGTGGTTGCATGCTCAGTACTGCTATGTAAAATCCATCCGTAACAGTAAAATATATATCTCAGTGCCTACTACCCAACAACTATCCAACACAACAAAATCATTATGACCTTACCACTCTTCATGACTGAGAACATATTCCCATGCCATATTTGATGACATGTACATCAGTTTCGATTTCCTGCATTTCCTGCTTAAAAACCACAGCAATCTGTATGTCTGATGCGTCCTACTTTGCTCGAAAAATTGTTGAAGTTGAACCAGATTTAGCGAATTACGGCCCCTATTTGTTTTTATTCTCTCGACAATACCCATTTCACCTTTTATTATGCCTACTGTATCTATTCCTATGTGAACTATTTGCATATAGATTTTCTCTGTAATGATTTCACCATAGTATCCTTGCGTAGACTGATGGGCGTAATACTAAACGATATGAGAAAACATTATGTGATCACAAATTTTGTGGAGGAGTAAGGAAAAGCAGAACTTAGAATAGAAAAGATAATAAAGGTTAATACCTGCTATCTTGTAATGATAAGTAAAAGCTAGGTGAATAGACATATCGATTAGAAACAAGACCCAGCAAACCTCATTACCCTCCGGCTAGTATACCCTCCTATCATACGTGCCACTACGAAGTGCATAAGGATGTTACTAAAACCAAATAAAACTATTGATCAAGTGTAATTCTGGCAGAAAATGTCTCAGTAACCTAGAACCTTCATCGCCATCTACATCAAACAATATACCTCTTCAACTTAAGTAACCGCTGCTTGCCCATTTCCAACACCTCATCTTCCTTGCAAAACGCAAACCGAAGAAAATCCTCACCTATATGCGCATGGTCATCACTATAAAACTCCGACGGTGGGATAGCAGCAACGCCTATCTCCTCGATCAAGAACCAGCAAAGCTTGAAATCCCTTCTTCGTTGTTCGATGTGTGCTGGGAAGGAGTAATCGCTGGGAATCTGTACCCTGGACAAGTTCACTAGGACGAAGTATCCGCCTTCGGGCTCGGTGTACTTGGAGCTCTTGTTAGTATGCATGTTTTTATTCCAGGTCCCCATGAGTGGGAGAAGGGGAAACACTAACAGGTAACCCCAAAGTTTCAAAAACCTCACAGAACAACCTCATCTTGCCCTTCATTTCCTGCCGACTATACTCCCAGAAGCTGGTTTCGTCTGCCTTCTTGAAGGCAACCGCCACTGCTTCTTGTAATGGAGATACGCTGCTATAGCAAATGCGAGTGTGTATCGCGGAAACATTTTTGATGAGCTGCTGTGGTCCGATCAGGTAGCCGATTCGCCAGCCTGTGGCGTGGAAGGCTTTACCGGCGGATGCGACGGTTAGTGTGTGGTTGTAGAGGTCAGGGGAAAGGGTTGCGATTCGTGTGAAGGGGACATAATAAAGGTGGTCGTAGACCTCGTCGGAGAGAATGAGAAGGTCATGCTTTAAGCAGATGTCGCCGATGCGCTGGAGTTCTGGTTCTGTGAAGACTTTCCCGACGGGATTGTGACTGTAGCGCGGTGGTTAGTTGCTGGGTTAGTGAGGTGTAGGTGGAAGGGGTTGTGCGTACGGTGTGTTGAGGATCTGGGTTTGGTTAGTAAGTACATGGAAGTCATATAGAAAGTACCAGAGGGATATGGCTCATACAATCATCTTCGTGTTTTTGTTTATGGCTCTTTGAAGCTCTTCAAAGTCAACTGTCCATTCAGAGGCACTTGATATTGTCCTGTTGCTGTCCTTTGGAGGGTGAAGAGGCACGTAGCGAGGAGTACCACCGGCCAGTTCAATTCCACTTCTATATCTATCGCATGGCGGGTAATGGTTAGACATCTAGAAGTAATATTGCCTGTGAAAGACCTACTGGTCAAAGAAGGGTTCGAATGTAATGACTTCATCACCGGGACAAATGAAGGCCAGTAATGCACATAGCATGCCTGCATATTAATTAATCTGCGACCATCCAGTAATATCTTATATGCAGTCTTACCTTCATTCGCACCCGAAGTGATGACGACCTCGCTACCCTCGTCAATTGGTCTCTCGAGAAGTTTCGAATAAGCAGACGCGATAGCCTTTCTCAGACTTGGGCGGCCCTATTGAACTCTCAGTATGGATTATATCTATACAAAGAGGTTATTGCTAGGATGCTACCTTTGTTGGAGCGCATTGATTGCAATCCACCCTATTGAGGGCTTCCTTGGCCGCATCTATAGCGAATTGAGGCGGATTGAAGCCACTTGGTAGGTAATTAGGTATATGATCAGCCACGCGAACAGAAGGAATAGGCTCACAAGAAGCCTTGTCCTAGGTTCACGATTGGTTGGATTGGAGATACGGCTGCTGCTTCATTGACAATTGACCTGTAGATGCTTGGTTAGTCTTTCATGTCGTAAAGGTGTCGAGGAGCCTGGAGATGCTGAGCATACCAAGCATCCAGCCTGTCAGAGGGAATTCTTGGCGCTGGTGGATTAAAGGCCTTGGTACTGCTTTGCGCATCCATGCTCGCTCAATGACCGGGGATCCTTTAGTCTGAGGTTAAGGAACGTTGCTATAACGCGACAGTGCAATGTTCTGAACGGCCTATGAGTCTTTTGAAGAGGTGATGCGGAGCGTCAGAAACTCGGGGGGATATATTTCATCAATGACCAAGCATGGATATGATATGAAAACAGGGTCAAGTCCTATGTATGCAGTGGTCAACACCTATATGTACCCTATTATCTTCTATAGGCCACGGCAACTATTTCCGTTGGATAGAGATGAAGTCTCATGATACATATACTACTACTTCCTGCAAAGGGGCAGTAAGGGCTTACATTCCGAGGCACAGCCAAGGTCGGGATTATCACAAGGTTGAGCTATTAGCGTGATGACTCGATTCTTGCCTTCCTGTCGCTAGGCACCCATAAAGCGCAATTATGACTAGCGGGAATTTGAACCGATGTGCACGACTGACTCAGGATGGGCGTGGCGAGATCAACCCACCTCCAGTATTGCTACCCTGTGACCTGTTTGATACTAGGATTGTATGCAACCTACTATTATAGTGGACCTGCAGGTGAAGGGTTTCTTGATGTCTACATCGAGCAGTAATGATATGTCTTGGTAGAATGGGAGTTGGGAGAATGAATGGATGGGACATCAGCATACTAACACAGAACAGGGTGGGCGGACATATGCGAGTTATAACTATAATTCAAAATCGAACCAATTGGCTCAATGAGATGTGCTCCAAAGCCCGTCGCTGCAGATATCATTCGTAGAAATCCCTGTAGTCTGACTCGGAAAACCCAGGATTCGACACCATGTTTTGTCTGATGTTGCAATCCGTCTCATCTGTAGACTTGCATAGGCCTAAAGTTTGCGTGAACCCTGTTCTTCAGGGAAATCCCAGGATGGAGATGCATCTGCACCGTTTGGTCGCGTTGCACGAGCAAAACCGTTCACGACTCCCTCAATCTCAGCTACAGGTCGTACAACCTCCACGTCCGCACCGTAGTGATGAGAGTACCACACCTCTGTCAGTTTCTCTTGGCGATTTTCAGGCGACGGTTCCGCGAAGAGGTATGGAAATTGTTCCCTCATGACCTCTAATGCTAAGACAGAGCTGCGGCCAACGCTATCGCAGAAGCGTATCTTGGAGAATGCAGGAGCAAAGGATTTCTGCAGCTGTGACTCCACCGGCTCAGGATACTTTCCGGTAGCGTAGAGTAGTAAGTTAAACTGCATTAAGGAGACCTGACCAATATATGAGCCGCCATATTGTGCCCGATTGTAGAGGCCAGTCAAGGCAGCGATAGCACCCATACAGCCCGCGCCGGAGTCTGCTATAGGCAACGGGGATACCATGGGTTCCACACGCCTGAGGAACCTCCCATGACACCTTGCGAACCCGGTGAGCTATCTGCAGGTCAGTATTTTGTTATGTCCCTGCAAAGCTTATCTTATGTGTAACATACGCAATCCGCTATCTGTTGCCATCCTGGGCGATGGCACCACTCGCCTTCATGCCCAAAACAGGTTTCGTCTACGTAGACAATGCCTTTCCCACGCTTTTCTGCCATAGCAGCCATACTTTCTGGACTGTATCCAAGTTTTCGAAGTGCGCCAGGGCGGTAACCATCAATGACCACGTCAGCTTCCGCGAGAAGGGCTTCAAACTGGCGGCGACCCTCGTCAGTTTTGAGATCTAATTCCACAGCACGCTTGCCCATGTTATTGTCGACCTGAAAAAATGGTACGTCAGGCACCGTTGGCGATGTAATCTTCAAGACATCCGCTCCATATTCGGCTAATGTACGACCGATGATGGGCCCTGCAATGACACAACAGAGCTCCAAGACCTTGACGCCTTCGAGTATCCTAGGACCCCCACTAGGGTTGAACACGGCTGGAGGTGCCTCCCCTGGCAGGCGCATGACCTTCCACCATGGTTCCTGAATGTTCGTTCTACCCTGCCCGGTAATGTGAGTATATCTTGGCTTTTCTGTCCGTGTGAGCTGCAAGGATCACCTTACATGAGGGGTGTTTTTGAATTCCTCGTGCTCATACACCGTGACTCCTGCTTGCCGATAAGTCTCATTGAGCGTCTCTAGCTCAGCTGCGGAGAACTTCTGAACTTGGCTTTGGATGGTATTAATGATATCATCGTAGTTAGTGAGATACGCGCAGTGGCTGTCTAGACCGATCATATTCAGAGTGGGAGTGGGGTTCAAAGAGCCATGCAGATGGAAGAACTCGTTGTCGTCCTTGGTCCGATACATACTGGCTGCCATCCGCCGATACGGATTTGATTGTGCAGCATGGATATCCGTGTCTTCATGTTGTCACTCCCCGCTCCCTGCACCATGGAAAAGACAGCGACTTGTCTCACCTTTCAAGTACCTTTTGACCTCAGGGTCAGACCCAGAGTATCCATTAATCTTCGTGGCTAGTGCTTGAAAGCCAAAAAGCGTCGCCCTTTCAAGGTTGATTGTAGTCTTTCGTTCATGTGGCTTAGTCCCTGATTGTAGATCCGCTATCAAAGCTGCCAGGGCCCCTTCTATCCCCTTGAGAGCAGCCAGGGTCTCAGTGACCTTGAAAGGGATCGGATAGTATATAGTTTCTGAGTCAGAATGAAATTGTACTTGGCTAGTAAGCATATCGACTGGAAGACCGAGGCGTTCGGAATTCTGACGAAGAAGATCGAAGATCCTTCTTGCCTCTTCTGAGGGCCGATACATGTTGCTGGTTACCTGTAGAATGAACGATGCAGTTCGGTATAGAGCTAGCAGAATCAAGTTCTTGTGTTTTCGCTGACTGGTGTCCGCAAACCCATCTACACATCAATGTATCAAGGCCTCATAAATAGCCTCAAGAATCAGTCAAGTCACCGGTATCTGGGTCATGTGAGATGGGCACAATCCCTTGCATTGATTATCATCTCATCGTCTCCTCTCACGAGTCTGACTCCGACCATCCTCGAGTGACCGTACCGAAACTATGAAACTATGACATAGTACTGGATTTATCAGGAAGGAAGTGCCAATGCTTCCTACAGTATCAATGGATGGATAACCGATCGCCCCTCGCTGATGCAATCCGTTGTCCCACATCCAAAATGGGAACCAGTACAGAGAAGATGTAGTAGAACCGAATAGGAAACAAGAAAAGCGGGTTTCTTGGCATTTGCCAACCCTGAGGTAGTACGGAGAATGTTACCTCATACAAAGGATCTGTGACGCTGTTCTCTAATTATACAGAGATTGGCCCGATGATGTGCGTAATCACCTTCCTGGGTAGTTTATTCGAGGCGATACTTCGGCTACACAAGGATAAGGAGAATGAAAGACAGATCGTCACATATTTGCCAGGAGGATCCTGCCATGAGTGGGCTTGCGCATCTTTCCAGACCGTATTCTGGTTCCGGCCATGTCATCTTCTATGCGATTCATTCGCAAGCAAGATAAAATTAGAAAATCTTGTTGCTTGATCTTTCTGTGTACCTCAAGAAGTATAAAATGGCATGTCTCGATGCATGCTTCCGGGATTTGCCAGATAGTCGCATCGGACACTTCTTTTCTTCTCGGTTCTGTCACAAAGCTTTGTCATATCTCTTCACATTCATTTGAGTTATTTACATTATTCACTCATACAATGACCGTGACTTCTTTGCTAGACATTCTCCGCAAAGCAGCAGACTACCAAGGGCTTCGTGGTGTCTGTGCTTACCCTCCTGGCTATTCTGGGATCGGCTCTCCCACGAGGTTGAGTTACACAAAGCTCGACTCGTTGGCCACAACTAATGCTATACAACTGCGCCGGCTGCAGTGCGACACCAAGTCTCCTGTCATACTACTTCACTTTGAAGACCATCTGGACAACATCATATGGTTATGGTCTGCCTTATATGCAGGTTGCATCCCTGCAATGTCCACTGCTCTACCTCGAAATGAAGATCACCGGATAAGACATCTCTGTCACCTAAGCGAGCTGTTCGAGAATCCTATCTGTCTAACTCGGAGAAGCCTCCAAGACCAGTTTCCAAGAAAGGCTCCTTTGCACGTTGTGACCGTAGAATCCTTGAGTGATCCACCAGCCGACTTTGCCGCTACTACAGAAACCAATTCCAGAGTACCCATTGGCCGCGGTGGCTGGAATCCTGCTTTGTTGATGCTCACATCCGGAAGTACTGGTCTACCCAAAGCTGTGTCCTTGACGCATAATCAGATCTTGGCTTCCCTTCAAGGGAAAACCCAATGCTTACGCGTTGATGGCACTGGTCACTCGTTTCTGAACTGGATTCGTCTCGACCACGTGGGAAGTTTAATCGAGATCCATCTCCATGCACTATTTGTCGGGTGCGATCAGGTTCACGTCCCATCCGACGAGATCATTTCTCGCCCAGCCTTGTTCCTCAATCTCATAAGTCGACATCGGGTGGTTAGAACATTTGCACCCAATTTCTTCCTCGCTGAGGTTGGCCGCTATTTGGAAGCCCCCGGACGAGAAGATGAACCTCACTTTGACTTGAAATGTCTGCGATACATTGTGTCTGGTGGGGAGGCTGTTGTTGTCAGTACCGGTGCAAAAGTGTCGCGATTACTGGCCCAACACGGCGCACCTGAAAATGTCATCGTCCCTGGATTCGGCATGACCGAGACTTGTGCAGGGTGCATCTATAGTTTGGAGTTTCCTGCACATGACACTTGTAACAACAACGAATTTGCTGCTCTAGGCAGATGTGTTACTGGCGTTGAAGCACGAATCATCTCCACAGCGACGGATAGCATTCTCGCGTGTCCAGGAGAAGTAGGCCACTTGGAACTCAAAGGCCCGCTTGTATTTTCTGGTTATTACAACAATTATACAGCCACCAACGAGGCCTTCAGTCCAGATGGCTGGTTTCGAACCGGGGATACAGGCTACATAGACACAGATGGCAGAATCAATCTGTCCGGCAGGACGAAAGAATTGATCACTGTCAACGGCGTCAAATATGTTCCGCAGCAGTTGGAAGCCGCTATAGAGGACGCCAAAATACCGGGGATTGTTTCCGACTGTGTGATATGCTTTCCATTCCGTCCCAGGGGTGCAGACACAGAGAGACCTTGCGTCATCTACCAGCATAGCTACTGCGTTAGAGATGCCCAAGCTAGGTATGAGACGATGACTGCGATAACGCACCACATTACAATGATAACAAATGTGCGCCCGTATATTCTGCCTCTACAAAGTATAAAACGCACATCCCTGGGGAAGCTTCCTCGTTCTAACCTGCAGCGGGAAGTTGCAAGTGGCCATTACAAATTGGAAGAAGCTACTAACAGAGACATGATCAAGAAATATCGACAATCTATATACAGACCACCCGGGTCCCCGACCGAGCAAGCAATCGTGGAAGAGTTAGCAGAACTCTTATCCGTACCTCAAGAAGACATCGGAATCGACACCGACCTTTTCGAGCTTGGCCTTACCTCATTAACGCTTATCCAGCTTCAACATGGCTTGCGGTCGAGACTGTCACTAAATGAGCCAATCCCCCTCGCCACGATGATGGCCCACAACACCGTCCGTGGTTTATCTGAAACATGCCAACATCACCACCAATACATCCCAGCTGTCAAGCTCCAGCCCAACGGCAACAAAACACCTCTATGGCTCATGCACCCCGCCGCAGGCGAAGCTCTCATATTTATCAACATGGCCAAGCTCATCACAGACAGACCCGTGTTCGCATTCCGTGCCCGCGGATTCCACCACAAGGAGCCATACTTCACCAGCATCGACGAATGCATCCGCACCTACCACTCCGCCATGAAGAAGCTCCAACCGAACGGCCCTTACGCTATTCTCGGATACTCCTACGGAACAATGCTAGCATTCGAACTTGCAAAGTACCTTGAGAAAGAAGGCGATCAAGTTCAATACCTAGCCGGTCTTAACCGCCCCCCATATGTTAGTCCAATCCTGAAGAAAGTTACATGGACCGACTGCCTGTTTAACATTTCTTACTTTCTCGGCCTTCTTTCACGGGACTCATACCGGACTCTCATCACGGAGCTCTCTGGACTCCCCAAGCAAGAAGCCTTAGCCAGAGTAATCGAGGAAGTGGATCCTGCTCAGCTCCTCGCGTTGGGTTTGGATAAAGGGGGCCTAGAGCAGTGGATTAACGTTACCTTCAGTTTACAGGAGATAGGAAGAGATTATGAGCCGAATGGAGTGGTGAATGCCCATATGGATGTCTTTCATTGCACTCCATTGGAGTTTCTGAATGTGACACCTGAAGAGTGGAAGAAACGTCTAGCTGCTTGGGACAACTTCTCAAGGCACAAGGTTGAGTTGAAGCATGTTCCAGGTGACCATGCTAATGTCTTGGGACCGGATCATGTTCAAGTATTCGTGAAGAGGTTGAATGAGGCAATGGCGTTGCAGGGTCTTTAGTAGTTAGTTTCTCTAGATCTTCGCTTGTAGCGGCATAGTGGCAGAATGTGAGATTATGTGGTTTAACTTATACAGCAAAGAACCTACTATTTCTTTTCTTGCAAATCACCTGAAGGTCAGAGTCCGTCGGGAAATGCACGGAATGTGGAAGAGTACAATTAACGCGCAGCCGTACGATGATCCCTCCACTTGGAGTGCAATGATATTTTACCAGACTTATCATTGATTATAAATGTAATATAATGTTTATCTATATATGGCATTCCTCTCCAAGGTGCCAATATCTCGCCTGAAAGAGGAATTGGCCAAAGCCTCGCGTTGTCGGCCGTTGCCATGGATGATTGTGCGAAGTCGCCCAGCCCTGCAGCAGGCTTCTGATAGCCATAGCCTTGCTCATGTAAGTCACTTTGCATACAAGCACTTGGCGCATGAAATTATCACGTCTGAGGAAGACAAACATGGGTCGAGCTTGAAAGGTTCTTGCGGGAGTTGGATTCGCCGAGCTGGACCATGATTCCGGCAGTTTAGCCTCAAACATTGAATGTACCTATTTAAATGTTTCAGCCTCAGTATGTGGTGGGGAAGTCTAGCATCACCAGTCTCCACTAATAGTCATTTTTCTTTCGGGACGATGAAAATGGTGAGGTCAGCGTCGCTACTTGCTTAGATTACGGAGATGTGTGGGTTGGATGAAGAAAAGTCTTCTTATAATTTGAATAAGTATTTAAACAATTTGTAAACTGCACTGTGAAGCCTCCAACGCTGCATCTACTCTATATTATCTAGAGACATAAGGTATTGCACAAGTTTTCTAACTTATCTACATAAAATTTCGATCAATTGACGGGCCTGTCTCGAGCACTTCGAGGAAAGGTATATATACAGCTGCCCACTTAAGCACCGGTTTTCTCGAGGAATTTAGTCATGGTAGCCAAGCAAATGGCCTGAGCGTCTTCTAGGTTCCAATTCTTACCCAGCCGATAAGGAACATGGGCTGCGTTGGGAGTTTCGAGCACTTCAACCTCATTACCCTTCTTCGTCAAATTCTCTGCAAACTTCATGATGTCGTCATAAAGAACTTCAGATGTACCAGCATTGACAAAGACAGGGATACCCAGCTGAGTCTCATTACCTAGAAACGTGATCCAGGAGTTACTGCTATCCCACCCCTCAGGCGTAAAAGCTTTCCGGCCCCAGTCAAGGAAATTCTGTTTGACAAAGTCGGTATTGTAATTGCGGTTCAGGGGCACATTCTTAATAGCTTCAACACTTAGATCGACCCAAGGAGACGACAAAATTGCACAGCGAGGTAACGGAAGCGCTGGGTTCTCCTCATTGATGTAGCGGAGCAGTGCCACGACGAGATTGCCGCCTGCGGAGTCGCCAGCGAATGCGATCTGAGATGCTGGGATCTTAAGGACCTCGAGAGCATAAACGTAGGCAGTTATTCCATCCTGGAGGGCCGCAGGGAATGTGGTTTTCCTATCCCGAGACAAGCGGTACTGAATGGCAAGCGCTGGCCATCCGGACATTTTGCAAAATTCATTGAGGCCTACATCGCCAGTTTCCCCGGGACGACTACCGAACATCACATAGGCACTCGGGTAGAAGTGAATAATTAGTCGCTGTGGAGTTTTAGCTGGGGCCTCCGGGAACCAGACAGCCCCAATGGGTAGGGGCTCAACTCCCGGAACTGAGCAAGTGATTCCCTTGTAGACTTCGGTTTGGGTTTGTTGTTCTTGGCCTTCTTCTTCGGTCTTTGTGGTGATGGTCTTTTGGGGATTGAGCACAATGAATCGGTCTCCCAATGAGCCTGCTTCCAGTGGTTTTGGCCATAGTTTCTGAATAATCGTCCAATAATTCATAAGCATAGCCCATGCACTGCACGTACATGCTGTTTTGTATGACCAAGCAGCATTGGGCCGGAGGAATCTCGGAATGTTGTAAATCGCCACGGCCACCAGCCGTGCCGGGACGGTGACGAGGCTGTATGCGGTGTAGCAAAAGGTGAATGCCTTGGAAGGCATGGTGGTTAAAGTAGCTAGCACTTGGTGCACATGTCGAGGTTTGAGATTGGGGGCTGGACACCTTATATAGCTCTGCGGGTAATAGCGAGCGTAACAACCTTGAAAGAAGCAAGAAGATGATGACAGGTACATTAATACCTCATCGCGCTAAGCAATTTAGTGTGGGGGCTGTATTTCCAGAGTCTCAACCTGGTTCGCTCAAGTTGCATAAATCTGGACGTGTTAGAGACATCCAGCCTCATCGCAAGTGGAGATGCGAGGCTGAGATCCGCTACGATCCGTCCGGCGACCTGTTCCCTCGTCCCGTCCCACAATTAGCGCAATTCATGAAATGTTCCAACTGGAAGTACTGCTCTGTACGTATTAGTGTATTGAATCGATTGATTATTACTAGAGCGGTTTAGACAACGTGTACACAACCCCACCTAATGGCCAACTAGCAGTAATACTACTATCCACCTGGGCAGGTGTATGCAACGGACATATGCTGATCAGTGCGTGGAGAACTAAGACGTATCTAGCACCTGAGCGTAAATAAAGATATCAGACCACCTGCTCTACCTGGACTAGCCCTAGGTCTTCTTCTCGGTCTCCCACTACCGGGCCCGTGCGTGGACCTGCACTCTATGGTTCGCGGACATGGGTCAACTACTGGAACTTGGACAGTCCCCATTATACTAGGTACCTAGCTAGCGTCCTATAAGAGTAAAGCAATACTAGCGTCGCAGGTAATCAATGATCTATGTGGAAGTTGTAGCGATTTATGAAATGTGTCGGGTCCCACCCAAGACCACAGCAGTCAGAAAAGGTGTTGCGCAGGGCTTAGACAAAGCGCATCTTCATGAGCGCATCACGGCGGCCGTTAACAAGTCGTTGTGGGTATTTGTTCGAGGAAAGGGCTCATCAGGCAAATGATTCTTAGGAAACTGTGCCTCTTGTCAGTATTCAGGTCTAAGTTTTACCTCAAAAAGATTTATAGTATACCTTGCACTGGCTCTCAGCCCTCTTCAACAGACCACTCTAGCAAGTGTTCCTTGGGCACCATAACCCGGACCATATTGTAGTGTCGCGATAGACCCATCTCACATTTCGCCCAATGCTGTAGGTAGTGACATTGGCACCGCCGCCAATGGCACTACCGCATGCTTAGGCACAAAAAAGCCGCGATGCGTCATATTCGACGCGGGTGAAGAAATCGTACAAAATGATGAGATTGTCGTTCGATCTCGGATGCCGATTTCTTTGACTACAATGGAGTTATGTTTTGCGAGACCGGAATATTTCTGCGTGTGCCCAAGTTCCGGGGTTCGAATTTCTTTGGTATTTTCTCTTTCTTTTCCGAAATCTTTCTATGTATGGCTCAGTCAGCTTATGGTGTATTGGTATGCTACTTGATCTTTGATTTATCTACCTAGCCATGTCCACTTTTGTACTAAGATCCACCTTTAGCTCAATATCAACACTTGACTTTGCATGGCATCAGCAGATATTCTAATCGACAAGAGCATCAACATGGTAGTTGGGCGCCCAAACTTTTAGACAGGCAGGTACAACAATGACACCAGCAGGCTTCCCCTAGACTGGGATGCTACTAGAAGATAACAAACCCATTTCAAGTGAGACCTGGTGACGAAAGGATCCCGTCTTAGCTTCACCATGACTGTCTACTACACCCCAGAACCGCGTTGAGGTACAAGCTCATTGCTGGGGACCGATCTTGTCGACCTGACCTACATCAAACCGGTCTTGTCGAGCATGTTGAGGCTAGGCTAGCGCGGAAGGCATCCAATCCTGAGTCAATCGGCTCTTGCTGGATGATCTCTGACCCAAAAAGTCCGGTCATTCTGTTTATCACAGACAAAGATCAAGCACAATATCAAGCATTTGGGAGTAAAAAGAAGACAACTCTGATGCGCCCAAGCCAAGCCGGGGTATGTGCACACCGATAGATGTTCAATGTTTATCGAGTTGTCTTATCATCGTAGGTCAGATATTAGATAGTCCAAGGCAGAGATGCTGGCCCAAATTTCACAATAATGATGATTGACTACCCCTGCATAATCTGCGGTATTTACTGTTAGTTTTTTGGCTGTATTTAAATGATGCATCACTGCCACAGTCACTGAGCGCATTGCAGTGAGTGATACGTGTAGCAACATGGATCGGAGATAAGCAATCCAGCCGAGGAAGGATCCACTTCTCCGCATGTGCCTTGCATGTCAAACAACATATTTTCATAAACTCCTCATGGCGGAGTCACTGTTACCTCTCAGTGCTTTGTACCGCCGGCCCATCAGTCAATCTCCCTCATGATCGCTCAAGCTGGTCCACCCCAATCCAGGGAAGCGTTACCGCCGTATGATATCCTCGGTTTCTGGTACGGTGCGGGCACTGCATCCGAATTGACTATTTATTGCTACGGGAAACGCTTCAATATCACAGTATCTGCCGAGAGCCTACAAGGAGACTTGAATACTGCAAGCGAATATCTGTCTCTGCTTCAGAAGCTGGATTCTGACGAGCCCTTCGAGCAGGAGGATGATAAGGGAGATCCGATGGAAGAACTATGTTTCTGGATAGCTTTCGAATGTAATTCTCAGATGAAAGTCCTGGGTTCCGAACAACAACCACGATTTCATACGCTATATGATTGGTTTTATCCTGACACCCTCATCTTACTCCTAAAATCATTGGAGGGAGGCTGGATGTGCAATCCTCTACACCGACTCAGCAATTCCTGCAGGAACTAACGCCACATGTGGAATTGCCCTGTCCGATCGCAGACTTTGGTATTCCAGTTGTTTCACCTTTACACATCCTGTTACCACGAGACACGACGGGAAGAGACTTACCTCAACGACCAACAAAGGTCTTCACTGAGCAGGGAATGACGCGCTTTCCCAAACCCACGTATGTCAGTGAACCCGCAGACCGAGAGATATCAACATTGCTACGCATTCAAAATCTTGGCTTATCGAACATTATCCGTGCACCTAAGATTCATGAATTTGTGGAATCTCAAGACGTCTCATCTAAGATATCAGGCATTTTGATGGACTATATCGAGCATCATGACAGTTTGGGTTATATTGATATCTCAACCACCGCGTTAACGGTTCGAATGAAATGGATAAGCCAAATTCAACACATGATAGAAAAGCTACATACTGCGGGGATAGTCTGGGGCGATGCAAAACCGGACAATATCTTGGTCGGTGCTGACGATAATTTGTGGATTATCGACTTTGGTGGGAGCTACACCCATGGCTGGGTCGATGAACACAAGGAGGGAACTATGGAGGGGGACAGCCAAGCACTTTCCAGAATTGTTGAATTTCCCTTGGATAAAAGCTCGGAATAATCCGTCTCATTTAGTGGACGTAAAAGACCGAGCGAGTTCCCTTTCCTTGTCAACAGTGTGGTTGAGATCCATTCGCGGAGTGATTGTTCTCCGGTCATCGTATTCATTCTATTGCAGGATATTCATCGTCCCAGCCTTCTGATCCTTTCATGAGGAGATATGGCCAAGTGCCGTTCTTGAATAGCACAAAAAGACCAGGCAACCTTGAAAAGGCTTTTGAATGCTAGACAGAGATTGTAGGTGCTATCATATTCGGTAGTACTATATATAACAATTTTCCAAGCAAGGTCTCACAGGTCTCACAGTCTAGTCTCTTTCAACATGCTGAATTAGGCGGATTACTTTATGAATCGATACTCTTTCTATTAAAGGGACGCTACATTAGCTTGATCAGCGCGGTCTCTAGTTCTTCAAGGCTGTAAAGCTTCGACTGTATTACTGTAGAGTAATTAATTGAAATTTATATATATAATCACAAAGATAATATAGATACAAGGCGCCCAGAAATAATAAAATAAATATTATAAACTCTCTGTAAAGCATCGAGTTCTGTTTCCTGTATTATGCTGTCATGGATATTCTGACGCAATTGCGGGAATCATAATGACCGAAATAAATATCATTAAAAACGACACCCAAACTAAGTAATCTCTCCCAAAGAATCCGCCATAGCCCCAAGTTCAAGACTTTTAAGCTCCCAGAATAACTCCGGCACGGGCGAGACCGAATCGAGAGCAACGACACCAATCTCATTAACGAACGGATAGCACATGAATACCACGCCTAGAGGCGATGGCATCGTTCATGGCTTGGTTCAGACCATCCTCCAGATTGATCTCCTCATCCTGACTAATTTGCAATCGTCCTGTAGAAGCCATCGAACGTGATGCTGAGGGCGGCGATGTCGGTTTTTATACCGTACACGTCGATCGGAACCGTGGCTGCATCGCGTTTCTGCAGAATTTTAGCCCACGTGCTAGCACCCAGAAGCAGGATAATATGTGGGGTTGCAGGCATAGTGCTAGAACTGATATGCTCGGTTTTTATCGTTGAATCGTTTGTTTCTTGGTTTTAGGCCAGGTCTTGCCTCTCCTGAATAAGTACTGCCTTATGGTGTCTGAAGCAATTTGGAACATATAAGTCATAGTATACGTGTACCTCGCCGTCGGTCTGTATAGGCTTCTTCGGCCGCATGAGGTTGACGCTGCATGGTGGACGTCCGACACGTCCCTCGGCGGATCTAGCGATTTTGGGCACGCAAGTAGCGCCGTCCCCGGAGAGGCCAAATGCCAAATCAAATTGTATGAGGATAGCCTGGCACCTGACACAGTCACGCCAGGCAGCCCACACTAGCAAGGGTCCATCGCCGCCGCCGACACCTGGCCGAAGGAACTCGTGGGTTGGGGTTTTCCCCTCACGACAGCACCAATCACTGCTGCTTGTTAGCGAGGGGGTTGTCCCAGACATTGAGCTTAGTAGTTAAAGCACTTAAGTAGGGCTGAAGCCTTGTCTAGGCACCACCTTTGCGCCGGCCATAATATATTGTCTACTATTCAGATGCGCCTGTATCTGTCCGTGTTGGTTCCCTTCTACATCGATTTACCATTTCTTGGGTAATCATTATGGGTTCTGAGGTGGCCACGGCTACCAGCGAAGATGTTTCTCCTTCTTTTGAGATTCCACGCCCGACAATTGCAACATGGAGGCTGGTGATTATTCTTCTTTGGTGAGATGCAAGAGAAGTGCAAAAGAAGCTTCGCCCGCGCCATGAGTGACGGAGCACTGACCATGAGTTCCCGCAGCATCGCCATCGGACTGTTCTTGTCTTTGATGGATACCACCATTATTTCGACCATGCTATACACCATTTCTGACGAATTCGATGGATTCAAATCTTGCTCGTGGATTGTCCTGGCGTACACCCTGTCCTATGTTGGTGAATATCCACTTCTTGCTTTGCTCTTCTCGAGACATCTTCAAGTAATACAAACTCAGGATGCGCCGTATTCATGGCAAGATTATCTGATGTCATTGGCCGGAAATTCCTCCTGTGCATGTGCTTCCTGATCTTCCTCGGCGCGTCGATGGGATGTGCCGCGTCGAAGAATATGAGCCAGCTCATCGGCTTCCGTGCGATGCAGGGAATCGGCGGATCGGGGCTGTACGCGATGGCCATGATTATTTATCCCGAGATCAGCCCCCCTCCTTTACTCCCCGCAATATCTGGCATCATCGGCGTGGTTGTCGCTCTTGCTGGGATTAGCGGACCGTTGATTGGGGGTGCCCTTACGAGTTATCGCACCTGGCGCTGGGGATTCTGGATAAAGTACGTCCTTGCAACAGCTCAAGAGATGCAGATGAAGAAAACTGTCTGATCACCTTGTCTAGCGGCCCATGTGCGTTTGTTCCTCTGGTAACCCTGTTACTCGTGTGGCCCAACGATTTCCATTTCGCGAAGAATGTTCGTTTCCGACACCTTGACTATCTCGGCGCACTTCTCATACTTGTCGGATCTGTCCTGTTCGTCTTCATCTTGAATGAAGCAGCCATCAGAGCCTATGCATGGAACAGCGCCCCGGTGATTATCGTCCTCATCATCTCCGTACTGTCATGGGGAGCGCTCGTCTACTGGCAATGAGTTATCTTATCCAAACCGAGATTCAAGCAGATTCGGCCTCAATTGCCGTTCCGGCTACTGTCAAGCCGTGTCATGGTCGCCGGCTTTGTGTGAGTTTTTTTGGAAGCGATCCCCCGAGAATATTGAATAACACCCCACTGACGGGCCCGCAACAGGAGCACCATCCTGACTGGATTTGTCATGCTTCTGGCCATCGTCAACATCCCCCTGCGCGCACAGATTGTCAATGTGAAGGACGCGGTCGCATCTGGGATTTTGCTCCTCCCGTTAATGGTAGGCACAGCCATCGGCTCTGCGATCGGCGGGGCCGCGTCTGCGAAGCGAAACAATGCCTTCTGGACGCTGAACCTGGCGAGCATTTTCATGTTGATTGGGAGTGCCTCGCTCTCGACTCTGACGGACTCGGTAGATCCTGCACCGAAGCAGTGGGGACTCGAAGCAATTCTGGGGTTTGGAATCGGGTTGAGTCTCTCTACAATCACGTTTCTTACGACGATGCAGGTTGAATTTCAGGATCATGGTACGTGCGTTTCTTATACTTATCCTCCAATGCGTAGATTCGGCTGTGGTAGTCAAACAGATATCCCTTGAAACTCGTCGAAATATCAAGAAGAATAAAGAAATAATCTTGACACCCTTTATAGCTGTCGCCCAAGGCATCGTCGCCCAACTGCGCATTTTCGGCGGAAGCATCGGCATCGCCTCGGGCTTCATCGTCTTCAACACAGACGTCCAGCACACGCTCGCCGGGGTTCTCACACCCGAGCAACTGGATGCATTCTACCGGACCCCCGCCGCGATCTACCGGCTCCCCGTGCAGCAGCAGCTTCTCGTTCGCCAGGTCTATGTTAGCACGTTCAATACCGACATGCGCATCTGTGCGGGTATCGCGGCGGCGTGCCTCGTTGCGACGCTGTGCACGTATCAGCGAAAGCCGCAGTCGATCAGGCAGCGGCTTGCGGATTTAGAGGAGGCGTATGCAAGGACTGAGGCAGCTAGGGGCGAGGGGGCTGCGTGAAGGGTCAAGGTTGAATGGCGACGTGGGAGCGTGTCCCGCTATGGATGCTAGAGGGGTGGATGTAACAAGGGTAGTGTAAAGGAATAGTTGTTGGAAGGCTTCGTTGCATTCCTAGAGCCACGTCGTAGCAGAAATATTTTACTACGCCTCCGAGCTCATTGAAAGGAACCGAACAATTAGAAATTGACTCGATGTTAAGAATGCAGGCAGATATATCACAGCAATCACAACTATTTACTATGTCTCCACTAGCTATGAACGCATTTATATATTTACAACCATAATAAAGTACTATTATAATACGATAGAGATTATTCCTACTCTCAAATAGTCTCTAAACTTATGAAACTGAAACAGTCTATAATGCTATTAGAAGACACATATACTACCTATCACGAATATAATCTGAAGATGTGTGTCTCTTGCAATCGCACTCTACTCATTTTAAGGCCCAGAAGAATCCATTAGGGTAGAGCCTCATCTCTATACACATTGACAGTTTTTTTTCTGTTACTTTCATTTATTCTTGGGTATGAATCCAGATGATTATCCTCCCAACCAGCCATCAGTCGTAATCCCAGACAGGGGTTCTTCCGACTAGACGGACTACGTATCTGACTGGTGCAGTCAAGCCCAGATAAGGAGCTGCAAGGTTTAATATAAAACTAACGCCAACTAGTTGCCTTAGCGTCAGATACAGACACACTTCTGCTGTTGCCTAGGGAAAACCCCTCTCTTCTTTTGATCAGATTGCTTGTGATCCTATCTTTAAAATCCCACACGAAAGTCGTTGAACTTTGTCGGCGTGCATGTTCTAACTTTCACGAATAACAAGGTAACGGTACACATTGGCCGTCGTTCATCTACTAAGATGGCAAGCTCTTGCAGCTCTGCAGCTGATAGGACATTTGGGCCGCCAATTCATGGCTGCTCCTACTTGGACTTTACCCTACTCTTTGAGCAGGTGATATTTGGTATAGTCCTATCGGCATGTTTTCTCCCAGCCGTAGCCTGGAGGATACTGCAGCTCCTTGGGCAATCCAGGAAGATCACATCGGAATCAAATCAGCATGCCAAGGTCTCTATCTGTGTGAAGATCATTCTGTGCCTCGCTTTAATCTGCAACCAAATTATTTTATTGATGCTCTGGGCAGTGTCTCCTCAGTATCGCAATAAATTCACCATCGCATCGGCCTCCCTATCATTGGTATGCTCCCTCAGCATACCGATCCTGTCATGGAAGGAGCACGTACGATCGGTTTCGCCTTCCAATCTGCTTTGTTCTTATCTTCTACTTAGCACATTGCTTGATGGTGTACAGGCCCGGACATTATGGCTACGATTTCCTCCTACTATCGCGGGAACATGTACTGCAGGCCTGGGTGTTCGTTTCTTGTTGCTCATAGCAGAGTCACAAGAGAAAAAGAAATATCTGAAGCCTCAATTCGTTTTTTATTCTCCAGAAAAGTTAGGGGGAATGGTGAATCGTGTCATTTTCTGGTGGCTAAATCCCTTGCTGGCCCGCGGGGCCCGCGGGGTGTTGAATGGCAGCCATCTTTTCCCTATTGATTCCAACCTCTCGGCTGAAGCAGTGCAGGCCAAGTTTGAGTCAAAATGGTTGTCTGGTATGTTACTTTCACTCACTTGTCACGAACTGAACCGAGGTATTCAATGACTATGTAGCTCTGAAGGATCGCCATGGAGGCCAACACAAGTTACTGCTGACAACATTGTCTTGCGTTCGACGGACTTTGATGTGGGCAGCAATCCCCCGAATTGGTCTCATAGGTCTCAAAATAGCGCAGCCGTTATTTCTTAATTGTGTCATTCAATATCTCTCTGCTTCAACTAAGGACAATGCTGTTGGAGGGGCGCTTGTTGGAGCTACAGTCTTGATCTATTTGGGAACGGCAGTACGCTTCCAACACTCATCTACCGATCAGAGCCGTGAAGCAAGCTGATGAAAGATCTGTGCAGGCCACGACGTCGCTATATATGCATGGGCTAAACCGTGCCATCACTATTGTTCGAAGCCTTTTGATTACTGCCCTCTACGAGAAGATACAACGACTGGACACTGTTACGGTAAATAATTCAGCTGCGCTAACGTTGATGAGCACCGACACAGAAACCATCTGCAACAGCTTGATGCGATTAGACGCCCTGTTCGCTTCGCCTATCGAAGTCGGCCTTGCCATATTCTTCCTTGCACGACAAGTCAGTTGGGCATGCTTAGCATCGGTTGGATGTGCCTTGGCAGCCGTGTCCCTCAGTTATGTTGTAGCTGCCCGGTCACCTCCACGCCAGAAAATATGGAATCAGGCTGTCCAGGAGCGTATTGCAATCACTGCATCTGTTTTCAATTCGATTAGAAGCATCAAGTTGCTCGGTGTTTCTACTTTTGTAGCACGGCGAATATGTGACCTCCGCAACGCCGAGCTTGAACGCGCTCGGGGGGCCCGCATGCTCATAATGTGGAGAAATGTTGTTGGTACAACTCTCTCTTATCCATCCCAGCGATGACTCCCTACTGATCGGCATCTATAGCAAATATACCACAGATTGCCGGGCCTATTTTAACATTTACGATTTTCACAATGATCTCCGGAAGTGGTGTGGTCACTTCAGCAAACTCTTTTACCGTCCTCTCCCTGATTGCTTTAGTCACTCAGCCTATCCAAGTCTTTGTTCATGGAATCACCCAGATGGGAGTTGCTCTTGGTTGCTTCAAGCGAATTCAGGACTATCTTAATTTGCCCGAAGTTGCGGCCGGTCAGATCTCTTACCCCAGTGACAAGCATCAGGTACCAATCAAAGCGCTCTCACCGAGCGTGCTTGAGCTAGAAGCCCTCCCCTTGAATGGCAAATGTCTATCAGTACACAATGCCGCTTTCAAATATGCGGACTCCACCACACCGATTTTGACGAACGTGAACGTCGAGATACACTCCTCTACGCTGGCAATCGTCACAGGGGCTACCGGCTCTGGAAAGTCTTCGCTCCTCAAAAGCCTCATAGGAGCGGTACCCTGCGTCGCTGGTTCTTACTCTAAGTCAGTGGCAATAGCTTACTGCGCACAAGAGCCCTGGTTGCCAAGTGTCTCTGTTAGGGAATGCGTGACTGGTCCTTCCTATTTTGACGAGAAATGGTATACCACTGTTCTCCATGCATGTGCACTCGACGAAGACATATCTGCTTTTTCCGAAGGAGACAGGACTTATGTTGGCTCTGGTGGTACTTCACTAAGTGGTGGGCAGAAGCAGCGCTTGGCAATGGCGCGGGCCATATACTCGCGCAGAAAGCTCCTAATCCTCGACGACGTACTCAGTGCATTAGACGTTATCACAGCCAAGAAGGTTTTTGATCGCGCTTTTGGTCCTAAAGGATTATGCAAAGCCCACAATGCCGCGGTTATTCTTGCTTGCAGTGATCCTGAACGCATTACCTCACCTGATACGATCATAAACCTTCACGATGGCACAACCACATCAGGATCCCCATCTGAAGAGCTTCTAGACAAGATTATCTCTATACCCAATGAGAGCGAAGTCAATTCTACCGAAGAACGAAGTCCAGTAACCACAGCGACAGAGAAAAAACTGATAGAGTCCCGTCAGGACCTACCACGCCGACTCGGTGACTTTTCTGTCTACAAATACTACGTAAACTCAATGGGCTGGAAATCCTCTGCCTGCTTCCTAGGCCTCATAGTCGTGCAGGTATTCGGATCGAAATTCCCTACTCTATGGCTCCAATACTGGTCAGACCATGACTTCAACTACTCCCTCGGTGTTTACCTTGGGGTATACGGGATTTGTGCTTTCATCCAGCTAATTGGCACCATGCTCAGCATCACATTCCTCATCATCTTCCTCGTCGCAAAGAGCTCTCGCCGCTTACACAGACAGCTCCTAACGGCTACCTTGAACGCTCCCTACCCATTCTTCGCCGCGCACGACAGTGGTACTATCCTGAACAGATTCAGCCGGGACCTTTCCCAAATCGACAACCAACTATCGGGCGCACTTCTCATGACCGTCTTCGGCGCTGGAACGCTAATCGCCGAAGTTATGCTCATCGCCGCAGGAAACAAATACATCGCTATCACGGTGCCCTTCGTCATCACTGTTTTCTACGCTCTGCAGAACTTTTACCTGCGGACTTCACGTCAGCTACGGCTCTTGGAACTCGAAGCACAGAGCCCGCTCTACACACACTTCCTTGAGACGGCCTCGGGCACGGACACTATCCGTGCATTTGGCTGGCAAGCCGCATGGGCGGCGCAGTGTCGACAATTGGTTGACACAGCCATCCAACCGTATTATACAATGTTCTGTATCCAGCGTTGGCTAAACCTCGTCCTCGATCTTATGGCAGCTGGTCTGGCGATAATTGTTGTCACCGTGGCGGTTACCTTAGGTTCATCGGTGCATACTGGTGCGATTGCAGTTTCTTTGCTGAATATCTTGGGGTTCAGTAGCAGCTTATCGTATCTGATTACTTCGTGGACTCAACTGGAGACAACTCTTGGCGCGATCGCCCGCGTCAAGAGCTATGAAGAGACTGTCCCGAGGGAAGATGCCCAAAATAGTGAGCTTACACAACAGCCTGCGGAAGACTGGCCGTCTCGCGGGTCGATCAGGCTCGATCATATCTACGCAAGCTACGACGCCCACCAGAGTCCTCATCAATGCATCCTGCGCGATATTACTCTTTCGATCCACGCCGGAGAAAAGATAGCAGTCTGCGGTAGAAGTGGAAGCGGTAAAAGCTCGCTCATTCTCCTCCTGCTCAAGCTTCTTGAACCCGTCGCGGGCTCTGTACTTATTGACGACTTGAATCTGCGCGAGATTCCCTGCGATGTTCTACGAGCCCGCCTTACTGTTATTCCTCAAGACCCACTCATCCTCCCAGGAACACTACGATTCAACCTCGATCCAAGCGGAGAGCAATTCTCTGACGATGCAATACTCTCAGCTCTGGCAACTGTAGGTCTAGGGATGGATTCAAGTACAGGGCAGCCTTATTCGCTAGACCTTGAAATAAGTACATCGACTTTCTCACGCGGCCAATTCCAGCTGTTAAGTCTAGCAAGAGCGCTACTTCGGCAGAGAGAAACGAACATCCTTGTTCTGGATGAGATCAGTGGGAATGTTGATGTCACTACAGAGCGGTTGATGTTCCAGATTATCAGAGAGTATTTTGCACATGCGACTGTCATTGCAGTGACACATCGATTGAGATGCATCCTGGATTTTGATCAAGTCGTGATCATGCAAAATGGCTGTGTTGTCGAGACTGGGAATCCCGGGGAGTTGCTTGTTGAGCGGAGTTTGTTCAAGCAATTGTGGGATGAGCAGTGAGTATTTCGTGGATTTAGGAGTTAATATAATGGGAAGGGACTTTCTTGAGCAATACCTGGACTACACAAGTACCTGCTCATCAGTAACATCTACTGTAGCGACAATTCATAAGGGAGATAAACGAAGCCAGATGCGGCTCAGACGACTTACTCCTAGTACTTTCGCACCAGGCCTTATCTGCCAACGATAAGCTGTATATGATAAGGTTGGACTATTAATCGGCAATCCATATGCCGATTAGTTAATCAACTATTCCTTACTAGCGTTCTGGGATCCAGCTTCGCAACATGCTTGACGTGTCTAAATGCACAGGCAGACAAGGTGCGTAATAGTCATTTAACTGAGTGGGGATACAGGCGCGAATGGTCTAGTAGCTAAGCTCCATCGAGATGCATAGGAAAGTAATCATGTTATATCACTCGCTCATTCAGCTTTCCCTAGCTGAGGTAGATATAACATGGCAGGCATAGTATTACACTACCAACATAGTAGTAACCCGAGATTGCATCTAAGCTCTCTCCAGACGCTAACCTTACGTACATGCTGGATATCACTTTATTGGTATTGTGCGTCTCAAGCTTGCTCATCAGATATTCAAGGAGTTTTGAGTCATAGTTGCTCCGTCGAATAAATTGAACAATATACACGTCATTAGCTGTACTTGTGACCCAGAGCCACCGTGAAACGTGGACTTTATAAAGGCCAGCTAAATAAATTAACTACCAGATCCTGATAGAAATAGTGTAATCTACTAATTTGTTCAGATGTGCGATATCAGCGCCGCCTGTAGGCTGTACCATATCTCGCCTATGCGGCTATTGTTGCCTAAACCGTGGCGGAGATATTCCTTGCTTGTTTGCACACTACCTTATTTAGTACTCTGATAGTAGGTGTCCAGTACTACTATAGTAAAGGCATCAGCAATATCATAGAATACTATATTTAAGATGTTCTTATCTTTGAGTCATGCATGAGTCAACTACAGACACTGGGTATTCGACGTAGTGAGCAAGGTAAGCAAGGCATGTACTGATAAACATCTCATCAAGGGAAACGAGTTATTAGGCAGACACAGTAGAAGATATACTGAAGTATCTTTTCACGTGTGCGACAACAACTCATTGCTCTGATAAGATACTGCTGGATATAAATACTATGTTGCAGTCCAGTGTTAAAGGAGTGGTAATAATGCTCCCTCCTCCCCCTCCATACTTAGTTACCATCGTACGCCCTATATTAGTAACCTCCACCGTCTACATATAGTGGTCTAGTATACTAATAGTACTATGTCATCAGCGCCCCGCAACCATGAAAGTGACTCTTACACTGAAACGAAGCCCCTCCGCTGAAGACATTGCCTACCTTCACGAGTCCCTCAAAGCCATTCATCCAGAGGTCACTGAAACCTCGCGCGAAGGACTCAAAATATGTTTCGCGGCACCTACGATGGATGTTGAAGCTTTTGTGGATTTGTTTCTTTCATGGCTTCATTCTTCTTCCCCGGATGTAATTATGGAGGGGTATGCTCTGGTTTCTGATATTTGATCTTTCTGTCTTAGGCTTTGCCATCTTGATTGCCGTGTGCTGTATTTGGCTGTAGGTTCTGTGCTGTTCCCACTCGGAATATTATAGTATCTGCCATGGTTGGTCGCACACAAGCAAATATAGCAAATAGGGTGATGTGGATTCACTAAACCAGAACCTGGGTGCCAGGAGATCGTCTAAGTACTAGATGTGGAAATTAATGGATTACAGGGAACTAGTGTAGCGGTTAGTAAATTCACATGTGGGAGAACTATCGCCCATGGACAGCTCTTGCAGCCCTGTCGATGTTGTAGCCGCGGCATTGAGCAGAAAACCCCTTGTGCTGCCCAGTTAGCCTGCCTTTATAAATAGACGAAAGGATCTGAGTGAAGAATCTTCACACCGAGACAACACTGGGTAAATTCCGCATATGATGCAATCCTCTGCCATAGCCTTGATCCTATGACACTGTTATGCGACGGTTAACCTCGGAAAGGCGTGCTTCAGCCTTGCTCATGAGGCTCCAAATGAATAGGTAGTGGCAGGGCACAAACACTGCCCACCTAGGCAACATACTTAGTAACGTAGTCGACAGATCGGCTCGGACGAACTGCCACAAATCTTGGATAGTCTAATGGACGCTAGAGGATGGACTTGGGAGGGCATCCCGCGATGCAAGCCGCGGACTGGGGATGGTGTCTTGTAGCGACCCCACCAAGGCGGGATAGAGTGGAGCCGTTGATTGGGGCAACACGACGTGCTTTCTCCACGGCCCTTTCCGTGGATGAGAAAAAGAGATCAATCGAGAAGGCCAGCTGAGTTGCGTTGAGCTGCAAAAGGCTGGAATCGAATTTGTTGTTACGTCAGCTTGTGACTTGGCGGGCACGAGAAGCGAGCAAGCGAGCATCTCATTGCGCTGTCTCGTCGCTTTTTGCATTTGTAGCTCAAGTCCGTCGATGTTAGGTGCATATCAGTCGAATAGTAAAAACTCAAGGCTGCGGGCACACGCAAAGGCGGTAGATTTTCTAACGTATCCAATTGCCTGAACCTACTTTGTCAACAGCCCCCGATCATCGTAGAGCTTAAACTGGGATGGGCATGATTTGCGAAGAGGATACTGTGAGGCTGTCCGTCTCCTTAAAATAATCCCCTGAAAAGCCCACAAATCACAGTATCTTAGCGCTGGGGTCTCAGAGATTATCTAATTATATCCCCTATATCAGTTAGAGTATATGGAGTACGGGGTAGGGTTGCACATGGTAGTTAGAAACTTGACAGCCTACAGTTAACGGTTGCGACACATGCTCATGGCGGCTCTGATTGAGTAACCCCACACAAATGGTCTCATGCAGTAATCAGCTCATGTCTTGCGCCAAAGCCAATGAGATAGTTCATCGTGGCTACTGCACTAATATGTACGACAGAGGCCAGTGTTCGCGTCGCCAAATAACGTCAGGAGAGGCAGGTCGGGCGTTTGCAGCCTCCTGGTAAGTTGTTCAGCCCGCTTGTGATCATCGGGATCATCGTGGGAAGGGAAACGCTGTCGGGAAGCAGAGCTGCACCGCCTCAGGCGGGACTCGTTACTAAGTGACTTGCCCAGTCCCTGTGCAACTTCTTGTCTCAGAATCAAGGGATTGGGGGCCAGGCCCCCCCGGGTTTAAGTTCTCTCGCTTCAGGAGAGTAAAACAATCTTAATACCGAGTACCAAGGAAATAAATTATGTGGGAATGAATGAGAGGGAAAGGCTTAGCACTGATCACATCGCAATTTATAGAAGCTGGCCATCAAACCACCAAGGGATGGCGACGGGTAGGGAGTTTCTAAGCCAATAAGAGCGATCAGGATGTGAGTACCGCCAACCGACCGGGGAAAGATCGGCCAGCGACAAGTGTTTCAGCCACGAACAACCAGGGAATCTTCGCGATCGCCGCGTCATGCGTTGATGTTGCCCTCGACTCTCTTGCCTTTCTCCCCCATGCACGGCCCCATTCAGGGTCGACACTCCCCTGACGACTGCCGCTCAGCTATATTACGCACACAATGGACGCCATCAAAGTGCGCCCGTCCCCTTCGGCGCTTTCTCCACCTCTTCCCCTTGACCTGGGTGCGACTGCCCTTACAATGCGATCCATTTCCTCCCAGATTCATCTCTCTTCGTCTGCCCTTTCGCGATGGCGCTCTCCGGTTGCTCTCGCTGGCGCCTTCGACAAAGCTATCATCTCTGCCTCTTCTACATCACAGGCTTTCTGAGCTTCTTGTGCATCATCATCATCTGGTATTGCGTCAATACCGATCGCGACTATGTTCACCCACTGCTGACCCAGTTGATCCCCGCCGGACACTGCGCCTGTCAAACCTCCACCACCTTCCAGTGCGCCAGCTGTCTGACATGTTCGCATCCGGGCCTGGTGCAACAACTGTCCCCAGCTCCGGCGTGGGAATTTCAACCTGCTCGAGACGGCAGCAATGAAGGTCTTGATCGTGCCCAGTGTACGAATGCATTCCCAGGTCTTTTTGAAGATGTCGTTCGCGCCACGGGCTTTTGGAAGTCTCAGGGTGCGCTCGCTATGGAGGACTTGGACGAGATCCCTCTAGCATATGGCATGGCGCGGGCGTTTATCCACGCCGGTGAGCTTTATGTGGTTGCGGCGCGGTCCAAAGGTGAAGACCATCGACGTAAGATCATCGCCGTACTGAGTTCAATTCACCGGGCGTTAGTCGCCGATGCCAACCGTACCACGCAACGAGATATCGAATTTGTGTTCTCCGTGGAGGACAAGGTAGAAGACGTGACTAACTCCGACCATCCTGTCTGGACTTTGGCACGATCCGCCACGGAGGAGGCCGTCTGGCTAATGCCTGACTTCGGGTTCTGGGCCTGGGAGAATATTCAGAATTCGATCGGGCCGTACGACCAAGTTGTCAACCGTATTAAACGCGCGGATATCCCTTGGTCAGAGAAGAAACCGCAGCTGGTCTGGCGAGGAAAGCCTAGCTTCGCCCCCAAATTGCGCCGCGCCTTGATGGAAGCTGCGCGAGATCAGCCGTGGGGGGATGTGAAGCAGGTCGACTGGGATCAGAGGACGAACATAATACCCATGGAGGATCATTGTCAGTATATGTTCATCGCTCATGTCGAAGGTAAGCGTTTCCTCTTAATGCTAGCGATGCCCGACCGCATCTGTACTGACTGGGATGTGTAATGCAGGTCGCTCGTATTCTGCGTCACTGAAGTACCGGCAAGCATGCAACTCGGTCATTGTGGCGCATAAGCTGCAGTATATCCAGCACCACCACTACCTTCTCGTACCAGACGGGCCGCAGCAGAACTATGTCGAAGTTGAGCGGGATTTCAGCGACTTATCAGACAAGCTCGAACCTCTGTTGGCCGACCCCAGTCTTGCGGAGCGGATTGCCAACAACAGCGTGCGAACCTTCCGCGAGCGGTACCTGACAAAAGCAGCCGAGGCCTGTTACTGGCGCACACTTTTCGAA